AGATTATAATTTATTATTAAATGATTAAAATTCAATTAACCTTAATTATTTATTTAGATTATAACGATAAAAGTTCTTGAGTTTTAATAATATAAGAATTAGTATTTATGTGCGTCTTAACGCAAGACACAATCTAGCTCTCTTTGTATCAAATTAGAATTTTTTAATTCGAATTAAAATAATTTTATTTCAATAAACTCACCTTCATAATATATAGAATTTTTATAAAGATAAATACAAATACTGTACAAAACTAAATAAAATTTATCTACAATTAAGGTTCAATAAAAATAAAAATAGATACAACCAATATTATAACAAATGAAATATCATATTTGTAAAAACAAATTATAAGCTACAAATTATTAGATTTAAATCTTCTTCTGAGCACAGATTCGATATTGATTAAAATAAGTAGGATATTTTTCCACCTCTCTAGATATTGTTTCGACGAGAGCATCATAATGTTCGGGCATTATATTCATCGATGTCACTATAAAGCCTCTAACAGAGTTGAGACCACGAATATAAAATTTTAGAGACTTTGAATGAAGTAAGTAGAAGAGGATATTTATATTAGAATAAGTTTTATATTTTTGTGATAATTCGTTAGGCACATACATACCTCTTCCGAAGATTCACCATATTTTTTACCAAGATTTATAGTTTTTTGTTGAGTTTTGATTTCTGAAAACGCGTTTGTACTTTCAAAAATGCGTGGAATTTCTTTTCCAACTATAGGGTTCATTCCCTTTGATATCATAAAATTATGGACTAAAAAACGAAAATTAAATAAACCTTATTCTTAATTAATAGACATAAATATCTACTTACTAAATTTTTGAACTCTCTTTGTAGTACTTCCACCAGATGTGATTAAATCAGCTTCTAGACTCTCGACCCATCCATCTGGCCGAGCTATCCTTATCATTTCTGGAATAACTTTCTCTTCCCATTGTGATTCCGTAAAAGCGGCAACCATGAATTGTTCGTGAACGAAATCGAAAGACGAATCCTCATATGGTAATCCGTCTAACACATTATATTGAATAAACTTCACATTTGGAGGAAGATTTTCTGTTGGCTGTATTGGAGATATATCAATTCCTACAAACTTTGAATTTGGGTATTGTTGTGCCATATCCTATTTTTACGAATTAATACATGTTAATTTAAAGTATCATATATCTAATAATAGGATAAAATTCTATTTACCAAAATCCAAATTCCAGTCCCGCATCTTTTTGTTATTCATAAAATTAAATAGATAGCAGTATATTTAAAATTCAATATTTATAAGAGAACATAGCCTAATACGCACCCAATATCAATAACACGAGCTCCTTGTCTCAATTTCTCTTCAACAGGTGAATTAAACGGTCCTCCCCAAATATCTTTTAATGCTAAAATTTATTATATCACAGTTATAATGTATTCTAGATATACAACACAAGTTAAAGCAAAAAGTTTTTACCCTCATGATATCTACTTAAACGATAGGCTTCTTCATCATCATTTGCGAGAAAATACACTGAATTCGAAAG